TCCCCCCCCCCCCCCACCTAGGAGTTCCCCCTGGCTCCCGGGAGATGGACGGAGCGTGTAGCTGGAGGGAAAGGCTCTCGCCCTCTGAGAGTATTTCAATTCCAGGGCTGGGTGGGAAGGCTGAACTTTTTCTCTGGCTAAAGATATCCCGAGGATCTCTCTGCTCTCAAATTACAGCTGGTTTCGTCACTTGGAAGCCAGGGAACAAGTTTGGAAAGAAACCTCTCCCCAGGTCTCCGTTATTAAAGGTACAGGGTCTCTTTTTAAAGATTGCAAGGGGGAGACCCTGCAAAATAGGGTCTAGCTGGAAGGGGAAAATGAGAAGAGAATAAATGGAATTTCCACAACAAAAAGTCCGGTTTGCTATTGACATATTGGGGGAAGGGTGATTACTCTGGAGAAACTCCATTTCACATCTCAGTAAATATCAGTTCCCTTGGATTTGTTGTTATGTCTATTTTATTATTTAGAAAGTTTGTGACTTTGAAGGCAAACTGAATGATCAGACATGGCACTTTTGTTCAGAAACGGTTAGTTAATTGAAATTTGTATAAGCAATGATTTGGCAGCAATAGACATACAGAAAATTGAAGAATGCATAGTTGCTCGTATGTAGAAAAACAGAAGCTGGAAAGTGGAATTCTGCCGGCTTAATAAGTAAAAGGACAACTGAGTTCATTGCTTAATTTTATAAAATAATACTAAGTTTCTGCTTTGAATCTTGAAACTAATGCGTTTACAGCGATTGCCTCTTTTAAGATACTTAGAAGCCTTTGAAGAATATAGAGCTGGCATATTTTGAAGAATATATGGCTGGGTTATTCCCATTTTCCAGATGGAGAAATAAGAAAGCAGAATGTTAAATAAATCATTTATACGCACAGAGTCAGATTGTAGTTGAACCGGAACACATTAAGTCACAGTCTTTCCATTTAACTTGGGGGTGGGGGGTGGGGGAAAGGCCTTATTTTTAAACCAAGATATTTTAATTTCTGATTTATAAATTGATTGGCAAATGACCTCATTTGTTTAATGGATACTTCTTAAGCATTTACTATGCTCCAGGGTTTATTCTGGCTACTGGGAATACAGCAGTGAATAAAAATAATGACAACTCTCCTGAAGCTTACATTCTGGGAAATGGAGAGAAGCATTAAATTTTATACGTGAATAAGAGATATTGTATATTGCAATAGGGTTATGGGGGAAATAAAACAGAGGAAGGCCAGAAAAGCAGAAACAGGCAGCACTCCCATCTCTATGGGTATTTTCTATCTTTGCCTTGAAATGTAACTGAAACATTCATGTTGACTTGCCAAGGTTCCATACCTAGCTTCTTCCCCAAGGCATCAGGGACTGGTTCCATTCAGAGCCTCAGTGCCACACAGTTCTGGCACTGTCACACGCATTGTCATCACTATCAAGGACATAAACAACCCAGATTCCTGAATAGACAATGAGATGTTTGGCTAAGTAGCTTGATATTCTGTCGATTTGGTATCACATGCGTAGAGTTTTTGATACATGTTGACTGCACATTTTAGCTCTTATCCAGATATTTGGCATCATGAAAACATAGACCAAAGGAGTTTTCTTAGTGTTTATGCCAACAAGAAGACCAAGGCCTGTTTCAGTCTATCCCAGAAGAAAACTATAACCTCTTCCAGTTGAGAGACTGGACTGTTGGACTCAAGAGCTACATTGCTTCATTCCTTTTTCCCTGGAACATTCACAAATGACAACAGATGGATTCGCATTGGCTGCTTGGCCAAAGAAGAGAAGAGGAATTTACTCTGATTCATTTCACTTCTTGCACAATCTCTCTCTGACTTACTAACCAATTCAATTCATTAAACCTTTTTTAAGCATTTACTCCTTGCAGGGTGTAGTGTTAACCACAGATACCAAGATGTACACTAAAAAATTTCAGTCTTCAAAGAGTTTGCTCTCTGGTTGCAGAGTCAGGCATATTGACACATAATGACATAATGAGAATTAATAATGTGTACTTTCTTCCTACAATTACCTCACCTAAAGATACAAACTCCTTGTCATGCATTAGAAATGAAACGATTTTGAGCAAGTGACTAAAAATCCCCTTCAGTCTGACTAGAGACAAAGAGAAATGTATTGACTCACGGAAATTCTAAGATTAGATTTTCAGACAAAGTCTGGTCCAGAACCTAGTTTTGCTGACAGTTTCTTTGTCTTACTTCCTCAGCTTATATTTATTCCGGGGCAGTCTCTTTCATTTGTGGTTTCAAGATGATTACCAGTGTCTTCTGGGACTATATGATTCCTTGTTCATATCTAGCAGGAATGAAAGTTTGGTTTTCCTGGTAGTTCAAATGCAGTTTCCTCAAATCAGTCTCTGTGGCCATAATTGGCCTGATTTAGATCTTGAATACATCTTCAAACCAGCTGACTGAAGTAAGAGGTTTGGGACAAGCCACTTGACTTAAGACAATAAGGACCAGTCCTGCAGCTGAAGGCAAAGTACCAAGTAAACTACATGACTGAGTGGTTTAGGGTCCAATTTAGGAAGAAAACAGTACAAGAATAGATTCTGGGGAAGTAACTATGATGGTTTCCCCTACCTTATGCCTTTGTCTTCGTTAACCACATCTGAAATTCACTGCCACCCTTTTGTAGTGGTGCAAATGTTGATAAAGGTTTAGCAGCTGGGTGTATGGGGGAAGAAATCCTCATCTGTAGACTTTTCTGATTTCCGTGGTGAAAATACTCTCACAATGGTCAATGTCACTAAATGCAAAGCCAAGAAAACATACATAGTGGTGCACCAGTACATAACATTCCCAACATGCAAATACAAACAGCTCTAAGATGATAGAAAATAGTAAAAATCAAGTAAAATAATTAGGAAGCAATGGGTTTTGCATATTTATGCTTTTTATTTTAATATAGCTTAATCAAAAGTCTAAATCTTTTTTTTTAAATAATGGCTATGATAGACAAGTGACTTGTAAAATTTCTGAAAACCCAACAACTGGTTCTCATGAGCCAGTGCAAGTCAGCTCCAGTACATAATGTGGCCTTTTGATTAAACATTTCACTTTGTTCACTTTAAAAAGTTTTCTGTTTCCAGATTCCTCATATATGCCTAGTTCCATCCTGGGCTGGTCTTCCAGGGTTAGATCTAAGATGGGCTTCTTTGTCCTAGAATAAATGGAGTTGGAGGAGATGCCTAAAAAGACATATCAGAAAGAAGACTTCAAAGAATAAGGTCAAGAAGCACTATCTACTGTCGAGGACAATGGTTGAGTCTAGGGCTGAACATTTGAGAAAAAATTAAAAGAAAAACCATCTGCCCATCAAAAGAGAACTGGACAAAACAAGTATGGTACTTACACACGATGGAATATTATGCAGCCATAAAGAAGGACAAAATCATGAACTTTGCAGCAACTTGGAAGGACTTGGAAGCTATAATATTGCATGATCTAACAGAGAAACAAAGAACTGAGTATCACACATTCTCACTCATAAGCAGACCTTGAATAATGATCATAACACAATAAGAAAAGGATTAGCAGTAGTGGGAAATTGCCAGGGGAGTGGAGATGGGGTGGGGTGGGATTAATAGTAGTGGGAAACTGCCAGGGGAAGAGAGTGTACACCTCATCAACAGGGTACCTGCATAATGAACATTTGTATACCTAACCCTGAATTTCACTCCACATCTTTAAAATAAAAAAAAAAATTTAAAAAAGAAATGTACCTGCTAATATGGTGAAAGAGTTGGTCACAATGTTGTATAACTTAAGAATCACAAATAAAATTTAAATAAAGAAAAACAGCAACAACAGCAACAAAAATTAAAAGACAGAACTGGGTAAATGTAAGAATAAAGAAGGACCTCAGAAACAGTGACCAGGATGATATAAGTAAGTAGAGGAGCATTGTTGCTTAATAATCCCTGGCACAGGATGCCAGCATGGTTGTGTGGCTTATCCTTTGTCATTTTCAGTGCATTTCAAAATCTTGTTTCTTTAGATCCATCACCACTTTAGGCAAGGAAGCAGGAATTTAGGCTAACATCAAGAGCCTAAAGAGCTATAAGCCACAGATCCTCAAATTCTGTGACTTTTCCTTGTCAAAGTTTTTTTTTGGTGATTCCTTGACTATTTCGGGTTATGGTCATAGTAGAACTTTTATGGGAAAGTGTTTAAGGAGGAACTGGGGATACTGGGTCCCACCAGACAGCCAAGAAACCCAAAAGGAAACCCTGTGATGTGGAAGCCCTCACTCTCAGCATCCCCCTCAAGTTGTCAGACTTAGTCCCTGGACCATGTCAAAGAAGAAAAAAAAAAGGGAGAGATATTCTACACCAAAGCAAGAGTCCTGAGGTGGGAGGAGAGAGGGGAGGAAGAAGAGAAGGGAAGATGAGGAATAGGACACACTATTTAGCACTTTGGAGATTTTTAAAAAAAATCAGTAAGAGGTAATCGGTTCATTCACTGACCAGCCATTGTTTGCAGAAGGTGGGAAGGATAGAGAAAAAGAAATGTATGCAAGAAAGAAAGAAAAGCCAGGCTTAGTGGCTCAGCCTGTAATCCCACGCTTTGGGAGGCTGAGGTGAGTGGATTGCCTGAGCCCGCGTGTTTGAGACCCGCCTGGACAACTTGGTGAGACCTCATCTCTACAATAAATCAAAAAATCAGCTGGGCATGGTAGCGCATGTCTGTAATTCCGGCTACTCAGAAGACTGAGGCAGAAGGATTGCAGGAGCCCAGCAGGCGAGACTGCGGTGGCCGGGAGCAGCCACTGCACTTCAGTCTGGGTGACAGAGTGAGACTCCAACTCAAAAAAAAAAAAAGGAAAGAAAGAAATAGGGAAGGAAAACAACTAGTAAAGAAGAAAAGATGAAAAGAAGGGAAGAAGAAAGGGAAAGAGTGAAATAAAT